TACTTAATTAGTCAACAAGACTGATAATTAAGACTTGTTTATCATTATATATTTGCATAAAGTTATATATTACAAAGTAGTTTGATTTGTATAATCAAAGAACACATTAATGAAGAAGAAGGTAATATTGACTCTTTCAACCGATTATACATATTAACATATAAATAACATATAACCATCTCATATTCTCATAGTTAAATATTATTAGTATAAAGGGATGAGAATCATAAGATTATTATATTTTTCTATATCCTTTATTGGTTTACCCCTAAGGCTTATGTCACTAATTACTAATTAGTAATTAGTAATTACTTAATTAGACTAACAAGTTAATAAGAAAGAGTAGCGTTTAACTTGAGTCTAATAGATCAAATACTGAAATGGTATTAGTATATTACCTAGTAGGATAGTCTAGTACACTGCTAATCTGTTATGCAACTATGCTAAATTGACAATTGCTGATATAGTCATATTAGTCAATCACTCATGTAGTCATAACTCATATCTAAATAAGTAATTTGTATTTATGTACTAATCTACTAGTCAATTATACAATTTATAAGTTTACACGATTACAAGTGTATTTGCTTATAGGTACAACTAAACTGATATAAAATAACCATATAACTAATCCGTAGTACTTCTTACTCTCTAAGATATATGACGTCATTATATTATTAAACAGTGTTCGATTTTTTATTAATCGCAACGCTAGACATTTACACGCTAACCGATTCACATTTTATAATTTAAAGAACTTAATATTTTAATGTGTGTGTTAAAAAAAATTATAAAAGCTGATATTATGAAGGCATATTTCGTTTTATCGGGATTCGAGAAATGTAATTAGTTTTTTTTTGAAGCCATGTAATTAATTAATTGTATAAAATTTCGTTTAATGTTATTAAAATAAAATTAAAAATTTTGATTTTTACAAAGTGGAAAATTGATTTCATTTTTTTGGTTGACAATTTCATCAAAATATGAAAGGTGGGAAATTTCCCTCCAAAACTAAAAGGAAAAACAAATTTTAAATTTAGAATTTAGATATTTTGGTTGTTAAATAATTAAATAATATATTGCAAAAGAGGAAAAAAAAAAAAAAAAAAAAAAAAACAGTGGTGAAACGTGAATTGAATTAGCCTGGTTAGGTCATCTCCTCTTCATTCATCATCTTCAATTCGCCGTTTTGCTCCACATCAAACACTGATTCTTCGGTTCTTCTTCTTCATCCTCAAGCGCTGAATCCTTACTCACTCTGAAGTTCTCCAGTTCTCCATCTTCAATTCTTCCTCTCCTTCAAGCCGTCACAGCTCAAGGTAATTTTCAGTTAATTTTTTTTTTTATTTCGGTTTTTTTTTCGATCTCGAGTTCTCCATTGTCGTTTTTTTTGTTCGATCTCCAGTTCTCCATCTTCAATTCTTCTTCTCCTTCAAGCCGTCACAGCTCCAGGTAATTTTCACTTAATTTTTTTTTGTTTTTATTTCGGTTTTTTGTTCGATCTCAATTTCTCCAAATGTAATTAGTTTTTTTTCGATTTCCAGTTCTCCATCTTCAATTCTTCTTCTCCTTCAAGCCGTCACAGCTCAAGGTAATTTTTCAGTTAATTTTTTTTTTTTTATTTCGGTTTATTTTCGATCTCGAGTTCTCTATTGTCGTTTTTTTTGTTCGATCTCCAGTTCTCCATCTTCAATTCTTCTTCTCCTTCAAGCCGTCACAGCTCCAGGTAATTTTCACTTAATTGTTTTGTTTTTGTTTTTTGTTGTTCATATAATTCCTGAACTATAGACCAGGATGGCATATACTAATCACCCTCTATTATGAATATCTAAGGGACAGTGGGAGACAAATCTTGTGGTTATAAAAGCATTAGAATTTTTGTATGGTAGGGAACCCAATAAATCATTACACTATTTCAGTTTAAAATATCATTCTAATGTTATGATCAGGTATAAACACTAAAGAATTTTTGTGTGCTAATTATAGTTTAATGCAAGTTGGTTTGTTTCCAATAGAAAGAGAATCTTGTCATTTTAATCCATTGTTTTGACTTATTGAAGTAAATTAGATAAAGCAACTACTACTAATTTTAGTAATTTATAAATCTGGTAGTGTATCACTACTAAATAGTATGATTGGTTGGAAATTTTAGTGTGAAATAGTCAACACTAATTTGGTTCAGATTAGCTGGTTTAGTTTTGGTTTGATTTATAAGCGATTCGGTTCATAAACATTTTGGTTTATAAGCGGTTCGGTTTATAAACGGTTCGGTTAATAATCAGTTCGGTTTATAAACGGTTCGGTTTATAAACAGTTCGGTTTATAATCAGTTCGGTTTATAAACGGTTCGGTTTATAAACGGTTCGGTTTATAACGGTTTTTATGGCAGTTCAAACGGTTTCGGGTTAGAAACGGTTCGGTTCATTTTCGGTTCGGTTTCCTTTCAGTTCGGTTTAGATTTTGGTTCGGTTCTTAAACGGTTTAACGTTACTCGAATCGGTTCGGTTTCGGGTTCACTAAAATGCGGTTCGGGTCGGTTTTCGGTTTAAAAAAAGCGGTTTCTAAACGGTTCGGTTCTCATTCGGATCGGTTTGAATCGGTTCGGTTTCCCCGGTTCGGTTCGGTTTTTGACAGTACTATGTATGAGTATTATGTTACTTTGCAACTTGCAAGTAATCTCAGGTTAATTTCTTATATTAGGGTTATTCTGATTTACTGAAATGAGTTGAACTAAACTAAATTGAATTGAACCGAACTAATTGGAGCTAAAATGAAGAACTGAAGTGAACATTTAATGAGAGAAGGAAATTAGGAATTGAAGTGAACTGAACTGAAATTAAGCTGAAGAGAATATACCCTTATTGATTTTAGAATGATAAGAGTGACAAATAAACTCACAATGAACTTTATTATAAGTATGGTTTTTGGTATTACTCCTCTTCCCTATATCTCCAACATTAATCACCAATGACATTGGATACTTTTCTTAATTATATTGTTACTATTATATTACTAATTGGCTTGGTTTTAGAATGATATGATGTTACAATAAACTTTATCATCAATTTATGTAATTCTCTCTCCGTCCCATAATACATAAGACATTGGACTTTTTTCGCTATTCATGCATTAGCTTTGACCATATAATTTTACCAACATAATAAAACCATATTTTATAAAATATGTTGTTAGATGGGTATTAATATAAAGTTTCATAATATAATTTTGAAAATAATTTTTATTAGGAAAAATGAAAATTAAAAATCCAACCTTTGCACTTTTTCCTCCTAAAAATCCAACCTTCGTTTTATTCCTCAAAAATCCAACCTTTATAACCTCCCTTCATCTAAAGGTCCATTACCTATTGATGACCGGTTTTTTTAAGTTAGATGCCACGTGTCAGCTATTAATGGGTCAATTATTTTTTTAATTATTAAAAAACAAAAATAATTAAAAAAATTTAAAAAACAAAAAATATCAGATTTTCCGACCACCGTCCTCACCACCATTCCTCACCACCTACATTAAACCTGGCCACCATTCCTCACCATCTACCTTTCCGACCATCCTCCCCTTACCCTCCCTTTCCGACCATCCTGCTTTTCCGGCCACAACCCAGCTTGCACCAACACCTAATTAACTCCGGTCCCACCCTCCATTTCAGCAACCCCGCTAACCGCAACCACCGACTCCAAACCGCCCAGCCACCAACTCCAAACCGCTATAATTCCTTGCTCAGCCCAAACAACCGCACACACAGTGACAACCCACAATACCATACAACCACCATCACCACCACCCTAAACCTTCAGCCACAACATCGACATGAAACACAATTCAACAACACAATTATAAAATACCCAATTGAAATTCCCAATCAGCCAATAATAACATAAAACAACCCAAATTGAACAAAACCCACAAATTTAACAAACAAATTGATAAAAAAAGACCTTTTTTTTTAGAGATTCAAGGGAGGGTTTTAAGGTATCAATGGTGAAAGGGAGAAAAGGGAGACGATGACGAGAAGTGGGTTCATGAATTTCATTGATAAGTGGGGGTGGTGCGGGTGGAGGGGCTGGTCGGTGGTGTGGAGGGGCTGATCGGTGGTGTTTATTAGGCGGTGCACTGGTGGTACGGGGTTGTGGTGGTGTTGGTGGCGTACCGGTGGTACTAGTGGGTAGTTGGGTTTCCGTTTTTAGGAGAGAGGAGAGAGAAAGAGGAGGAGTGAAAAGAAATTGAGGGAATTAAAATAAATAAATAAATAAAATAAAACTTTTTAACCTGTTTAACAGGTTAAAGGTAAAATGGATCTGTTAGAGAAGGAGGGGTATAAAAGTTGGATTTTTGAGGAATAAAATAAAGGTTGGATTTGTAGGAGGAAAAAGTGTAAAGGTTGGATTTTTCTTTTCCATTTTTCCTTTTTATTAATATTTAATTAAATAAAAATAAAGTCAAACTAGTGTATTGACATGTGTTCAATATTAACTGTGTCATGTATTATGGGACAGAGAGAGTACGTGTTTACATTATTACATTTAATTATGTCAAAAAACCAATTATCATATCACATAATTAATAGGGATTTGTACTATGATGTTATGAGTCAATGAATCAAGGACCAAATCATGATCATAATCTGTAGAGATTTTCACACCTTTTCAAATCAATTCTAGAAGGTAAAATCACCATCAATTGCAAGTATCAAGTGTGATTTTGTATTTTTACAGATTATAGTACTTAATTTATATACTAATATATAAATAGAGTAAATTAACTTGATTTTAGATCACAAATTGTGTATGTCCTTTGGCCACGTGGCACCTCCATCTTAAAATAATTTCTCTATAATTTCATACTACATATGTTTGATTTTCTCTATGTATATATACACAATTGTTTTCTCCTAGGTTGAACCTCTTATATTAGTATAAATACATAAAAATAACCATTATCAATTCCCAAGCAAAAAAAATATTCTTAAGCTAAGAAGAAAAAAAATGAGGTTTTTCAAAAGTGTTCAAATTGAACATAGAAGAAGTTCTTTTAGTAATTCAGATGAAAATAATCAAAGTGAGACTATTGATGAAATAAATTGGGCAGCCCTAGAAAGGCTACCTACATCAGTTAGAGCACATTATAGTTTTTTGCATGGAGTGACAGGTGAATTCAAAGAGGTTGATGTTAATAAACTTAATCTCTTTGAAAAAAGGGCTTTGTTGAATAGAATGGTTAGAAATATGACTCAAAATGAAATCTTCTTGCACAAAATCAAGTCTAGGTTTGAAAGGTAAATTTCTTGCATTGTCCTTATTTTTTCAAGTTTTTGATTTTTTTTTTTCTTTTATTAGTTTATCTTAATTTATTAGGATAAAGTCATATACATCTAAACCTTCTAATATAAAATTTCTATTGATTATGTTTTAATTAAAGGATGTAAATCATCTTATACCTTTCTATGTAAAACTGTGTACATCAGGTTAAGATTTTGTACATCTGATCCTTCTTATCTATAATCTCGTTTGTTTATATTTTAAGGATGTAAAATTGTAAATTACACTATACCTTGTTATGTAAAATTGTGTACATTTATTTGAACATGCATAGTTCATATATTAAATGTGTATTACTATTTTTTATAATGTAAAATTGTGATTACTATGTTAAATTACTAAATAATTTGGTGTGTTGATGAGATAGAGTTTCCATGGAAATGCCATCAATAGAAGTCCGATTTGAGAATCTCAATGTTGAGGCGTATGCTTATGTGGGTAGTAGAGCTTTACCTTCGATCCTCAATTCCTTGGTGAATATGGTTGAGGTATTTGGATAAATTTCTGATTTTTACCATTTTAAAAAATTAAATTTTTGCTGTCCTTTTTTTTGTTTGATGAGATAATGAACACATGCGATTTGATTCATTTTTAATTACCATTTTAGGGTGTGTTAGATTGCCTCCATATACTTCCAAGTCATAAGAGGAAATTGGAAATTCTTCAAGATTTTAATGGAATCATCAAGCCTGGAAGGTAAATCTCATAGTTTTTGTTTCCCTTTTAATGTTTAATTCCTTTGTTGATTTTTATGACAACTAGTTATATATGCACACGATGCGTGTCTCATATCTGATCACCAATTTTAACTTGAAATGCATGTGATGCATGTCTCACTTGTCAATAAACTTGTAAACATGTAAAGTGACTCATGAAGTCATGACATATTATTCACACTTAAAATAAAAGTCATTCATTAAGTAAAAGAGTAATTTAAAAATGAAGGATTTTTAAGTAGAAATCAAAGTACTTATAAATTTAGTGATGTAATTAGATACATAAATAGAATATTTCAAAAAACGTGTTTGTATTAAATTATTAACCCATCTTTTCTCTTCTAGGATGACTTTGCTTATTGGTCCACCAAGCTCAGGAAAGACCACTTTATTATTAGCTCTTTCCGGTCTTCTCGATTCGAAATTAAAGGTATTACCTCTGTCTCTATTTGTTGTATCTACCTAGTTATAAAATACTCTATACTATCACGTGTAACACAATTATTTATCACGCTCAATTTTTAATATTATTCACTTCAAAGTGTTATTATTGTAAAAAGTTACTTTATGGAGTATATTCTCATTAATACACAATTATGAATTTTGGATATTGATCAAGAAAGAACCAAAGCATCATGATTCCCCACAAAAATAATTGAGAGGAGACTGGAACCTAACCACCAAGAATTGATCCCCGAATATAGATTATATAATCATATACACCTAATTGAGAGGAGACTGGAACCCAACCACCTAGAAAAATTGCTCATATGTCCTCATATAATCATATACACCTAATCTGTAGATTATTAACCCATTTTATATCTTATGTTTTTAATTGATTTAATTCAAGTGCACAATAATCAAAACCTATGAATTGCACGCAATTAATGACCACTTCGTATTTATCAATAAATAATTAATGTTACATCTTACATATGCATGCATTGATTTTCTTAAATGATGAAATTAAAATGAATGGCTATGCATAAATGCTGCATCTTTTATTTCCTTTTATTTTTTTGTCATATTTAAATTATAATTATAATTATATAAAAAATATATATAAAAAAAATATGGTTGTAATTTTATCAGGTTTCTGGAAAGGTGACGTACAATGGACATGAGTTACATGAATTTGTTCCTCAAAGATGTTCAGCCTATGTTAGTCAAAATGATGTCCACATTACTGAATTGACTGTAAGAGAAACTTTAGGCTTCTCCGCCACTTGCCAAGGAGTTGGTCATGCTTATGGTACGTACGTCCATACCGAGTTTAGTTTAAATTACGCTATTAATATGACAATTAAGTCTTAACGGATATGGAAGGACTCGAATAAGTATAAGTTATTCATTGGACTGATACTTGTGCCCGTTGTTTCCATTATATAGAGTTGCTATTAGATTTGCTGAGAAAAGAAAAGGAGATAAAGACTAAACCAGACCCCTTACTTGACGCGCTATTAAAGGTTAGTCTAAATAAAAGAAAATACTAGCTTCGTTAAATGTTATGTGCAACTTTGGGGTATCATTTATGAGATATAAAATATTCCAAAGTTACAGGTAACATTTAACGGAGGTCGTATAATTTTTATATTATTCGGAGTTTTGGGATATACAAATTGGTTCATTTGTACTTTTGACTTTTATTATCTGTACACAATTGAAACTTTAACATTTATTTCGTACATGTGTGTACACAGGCGTCAGCTATGGATAAACATAGAAAAGCTTTGTTCACTGAATATATTCTTAAGGTAACAAAAACTACTTGATTTCATAAAGCATAAATAAATTATACTAGTCTCACCCTAGCTATAATTTCTAAATTTTAGTAGCATGCAATAAATTTTGTTCCCAAATTAAATTTGCTATACATACATGGTATATTTTCAATGATCCAATTAATTAAGCATTTTTTTTTTCAGGTTTTGGGGTTGGAACAATGTGCTGATACACTTATAGGTGACCAAATGAAAAGGGGCATTTCTGGAGGTCAAAAAAAGCGAGTTACTATAGGTAAAATATATATATATATATATATTTTATCGGATTCTCTCTAGTTACTAGACCATCGAATTATTGCGTTCAGATAGGGGAGGTTAAGATCCCCCTCTTATTTCCTTAGTTGCTAGACGGTCCAATTACTAGAGAGAATCCAAGTCCATAATTTTACGCGTACATAGTTGTATACTATATACGAGTATATAAATTCGAAAATGTTTTTATATACTCATTGCTCCATAATCTTTGTCACGATTTTAAAACAGGGGAAATGATGGTTGGTCCTGCAAATGTGTACTTCATGGACAGCATTTCAGTTGGTTTAGACAGTTCTACAACGTATCAAATAATTAACACAATCAGGCAATCTGTACATATAATGAACAAAACCGCGTTAATCTCTCTACTTCAGCCTCCTCCAGAAACATTTGAGCTGTTTGATGACATAATTTTCATTTCTAAGGGGCAGCTTGTGTACCAAGGCCCTAGGGTGTATGTTCTTGAATTTTTCGAGTCCATGGGTTTTCGATGCCCTGAACGAAAAGCCGTAGCTGATTACTTACAGGAGGTACTTAATACTTATACACTACTGCACCATCTAGATCATGCAAGTTTTAGGCCAAAGTAATTGCAAAACATCGAGGAACATTTTTCTCTAGGAATGTTTTGCTTAATTTGCTATAAATATTATGACAGGTTGTTTCGAAAAAAGATCAAGCACAATATTGGGCGCGACAAGATGAGGAATATGCTTATGTTTCTACTAACCAGTTTGTTGACAAATTTAAGGAATTTCATGTTGGAAGAACCATCCAAAATGAGCTAGCTGTGCCTTATGATAAGTCCAAGAGTTACCCTTTTGCCTTAACTAAGTCGAAATTTGGAGTTGGGAAGGTGGTATTACTCAAAGCTTGTTTATCTAGAGAACTTATTCTCATGAAACGTAACATGCTTATCTTTGTTTTCAAGGCAGTTCAAGTAAGTTACCTTAATTATATTTCAAATTTCATATTGTTCTGTAACATATATACATGTTACATTATGCTATCGCGATTAAATACTATGAAAAATTTGCATATTTGAGATTAATCACGTACACTTTCATAGCCGGGATCATTATTATTACTGTCTATGGTCCATTTCTAAGACTATCTCGGGGTGGACTCATTGCAGCTCACGGTTCTTGGATTTGTTGTTGCAAGTGCTTTTGCTGAGGATAAGAAACATCATAGTACAATCGAAGATGGGGTAGTTCATATGGGAGCACTCTTCATTGGACTAGTCACTATTATAATTTCAGGATTTGCTGTTCTACCTATGACTATTAGCAAACTTCCAGTCTACTATAAGCAGAGAAATTATAGATTTTTCCCTTCTTGGGCATATTCATTTCCAACATTGATCCCTGGGATGATTTTTTCGAGTTTTGAAGTTATCATTTGGACGATTACAACTTACTTCATCATAGGATTTGATCTTAACTTCTTCAGGCAAGTTCCTAATGATGTTTCTGCTTCATTTCTTCTAATTTCAGAACTTTTTTTGCTAACTTTTTTTTCCCAAAAAACCATAACTTGTGTCAGGTTGTTGAAACATGGTCTTATCTTGATACTATGTGGGCAGATGTCTTACAATCTCTTTAGATGCATTGGTGCCGTGACAAGAGATTTTTCCATTGCAATTGTAGTTGCAAATCTTGCAGTCATGTGGCTGATGATTTTCAGTGGCTTTGTGTTAGCAAGAGGTAACACTAGAAATCATTGGACATATTTGTTTTAAGTTAGAAACTCGACTTCCAATTGACTGTTTTTTTTTAACTTCTTTTATAGAGGCAATGAAGAAATGGTTACTCTGGGGTTATTGGACATCTCCCTTGCTATATGTTTACAATGCCATGGTCACAAACGAGTTCCTCGGACATTCATGGGAAAAACATGTAAGATCACCATTCTGCCTTTGTTCTTTTCACCTATGTTCCACTTATTTGAACTTATTAGCCCTTACAGTATGTATCTGAACTTATTTTAACTGTAAACTGAACTTGGAAGTAGCCCTTATCTGAACTTTTTATGACTAATTAACAATGCACCGCCTTTTAAATTCTTGTTCAGCATCTTCCAGGATCAAATATAGGACTGGGAGTGTCTGTCCTGCAATTTCGTGGAGCAGAAACTGATCCCCAATGGTATTGGATAGGTGTCTCTGCATTGATCGGCTTCATAATCTTATTTGCTTTGCTTGCCAACCTCGCGCTTGCCTATCTCAAACGTAAGCCTAGCTTAGCTTCTACTCTTCTCTCTATTCTACATTTTCCTTCTGCAACCTTGATTATAAACTAATCTTGTAACTGTTATAAAACTAATTGATTTCTACTTCCACAATAGCATACGGGCAGTCATCAGGCTTCATCTCCGAAGAAGCTGAAACATCTACTGAGGCAGAAAGTATAAACCAAAGCAGAACACCGGATAGTGGTAAAACCACTAGCCTACTTTTCACACCTCTCTGCATGACTTTTGAGAACATCGTGTATTCCGTTGACATGCCAAAGGTAAAATAGTAGCTACTAATTGTTAGAGGTGTTCATGATCTAACCATGTACTTGATGATAAAGTTGAACTGTTTTTAAATGTAATGTAGGAGAGGAAACAAAGGGGAGATCCACATGATCGATTGGTGCTACTTGATGGAGTAAGTGGATCTTTTAGGCCCGGTGTCCTGACCGCCTTAATGGGAGTAACGGGAGCAGGAAAAACCACACTATTAGATGTTTTAGCAGGAAGGAAAAACACAGGACATATAGATGGGAGCATCAAGATTTCAGGCTATCCAAAGAAGCAAGAAACGTTTGCTCGAGTTTCAGGATATTGTGAACAGAATGATATCCATGTTGACCTCATGACTGTCTATGAATCAATCATCTTCTCTGCATCTCTTCGATTATCCAAAGATATTAGCTTTGAGGCTAAACAGGTCTTCTCCTTTTCTTTGTCTAGTATGAGAAATTTGTCTTAAACCGCCCTTCCTTTATTGATGGTTAATAATCTGAACATTAGTTCATCTAAGTGACCATTCATTATAATGTCGAATAAGTTATGTTATTTGGAATTTTATTTTCACCTCAACTATCCGTGTTAGATCCTCAAGACTTGACACGAGTATGTAAGATCTACATTTCAAACTAAATGTTGAAAACTTTTGTAAGATAGTCGAGTCTGACACTTGGACATATGTGACTGATATGTGATCAGTCTGTGCCTAATGTGAGTCGGAATGACATTGACATTAGGTGATTGTTTGAAGGATGAAAAATAGCAAGATGCCTTAACAAATAGTTATGCAAAATTTTCAGAACAAATATCAAAAGTTGTTTGTCTATGGTACATTAACATTGCTAAAAGAGAATAGCACTTTGAGTCTCTAATGCTCTAATTTTTGTTTCTTGCCTTAGAATTTTGTTGATGAAATCATCGAATTGATCGAGCTTACAGCAATAAAAGATGCATTAGTAGGAACCCCAAATGTGAATGGCCTTTCAGTAGAGCAGAGAAAAAGGCTAACCATAGCAGTAGAGCTGGTAGCTAACCCTTCCATAATGTTCATGGATGAGCCTACTTCCGGCCTCGATGCAAGGGCAGCTGCAATCATCATGAGAGTTGTCCGAAACACAGTTAACACTGGGAGAACTGTCATCTGCACCATCCATCAACCAAGCATCGACATATTCGAGTCCTTTGATGAGGTACATGGATAAATTATCTTCTGTTATGACTTGAGTCTATTCTAATTTGTTGTTTTAGTATGCATGATTATGAGTTATGACTTGTTTTTGTTGTAAATTTCAGCTTTTCCTCTTGAAGCAAGGAGGCCAAGTGTTGTATGCCGGTCCTATTGGCTATCGATGTCACCAGCTTATTAGATACTTTGAGGTAGGCATTTGCTTAAATGATCTAAAACATACATCCTTAAACTTTACTTAAATTTTCTGAAAACTAAAAAATTCTCCCTAATATTTTTTTTTTGAAGGAAATCAATGGAGTACCTAAGATAAGAGAGGGGTACAATCCTGCAATCTGGGTGTTAGAAGTGACATCGCGAACACAAGAGGAGCAACTAAGACTGGACTTTGCTGCCATTTACATGAATTCTGAGCTATACAGGTAAGTTTGTAGGACTTTGTGATCAACTTTCAACAATGTATGTTTTTTTTTCGTTGTGTTAACAGCATTTCACTTGGTAACATAATTCTGTTTTCCCCTTCTTTTGCTTTTCCTAGGACAAACAAAGCATTGATTTCGGAGCTTAGTATACCTCCACCTAATTCTGAAGACCTCCATTTTCCAACATCATATCCTCAAACATATCTTACTCAATGGAAAATGTGTTTATGGAGGCAATACAAGTCATGCTGGCGTAACATAGCTCATAACGGTGTAAGGTTCTTGATCACATTAGCAGCTGCTTTCATGTTCGGGGTTGTCTTCTGGAAGATTGGTTCTAAAAGGTATACTTGATCAACCCATAATTTAGCTTACCTCAGATTTATAGTAACTCTTTCAAGACTTTATGTTGTTTTAAAGAATACTACAAGAAGGGGGGGTTGAATTGTAGTATGAGAAATTAGCCAAACTTTTTGCGGAATTAAAATTAAGTTAGCTAAAGGAACTGAAAGATTTACCAAAGGAACTAAAGAATGCAAGAGAGATTTTACATGGAAAACTCCTTGGCCCTAACAAGGAGAAAAACCATGACCACTTGAGATTTTGGGAAAAGAATCTTCACTATAATAGGGCAAATGAACCTATTACAAGCTAACGACTCAAACTCAAGTTCCTCTACACACTTGAGACCCTGAGGAACAAGTCACTCAACTTGTTACTCTTCTCTTCTCTTTCTCTCTTCTTACTTCTCTGTTCTCTCTTCTCTTTCTCCTCTCTTTCTCTTATCTTTCTCACTTCTCTTTCTTATACACAAACGTTCACTTGAACTTCCCCATTCCCCAAATTACAACTCGAAAAATAAACAAACTCTAGTATAAGAACATTAAGAACACTCTAATGAACTTGTGTGGAATTTGACTCTTAACTCGATTTAAAGCTTGAAAACTTATGTGAGCAAGGGTGAGTTTTTCCATCTGAAATCAACAACTATTTATAGACCAAAATTCGTTTAAGAAAAACTTCTTTGTGCAGCAAATCCATTACGCCACTACTCCAACCCACTAAGAAGATCATGTTCCTAAAATTAAGGGAACATGAACTCCTCAATGTGCAAGACCATGACTTGAAGAAAATCATGGAGGAGTAGGCCGCAAGTTTTTAGAAAACGTGGGAGATTTTATTTGCAGAAGATATTTTTAGAAAATCAGAAATAAAATCTTTTTGGTTAAGTAAAAGATAATCGTTAAAGACTTAACCACTTTCCTAAAAACTAGCATGCACAATTTTATCTTTTTAGACCAATTCCACACAGATTTTTCGAGTGCAAATTCATATCTTATACTTACATAAATCCTAAAATATAAAAATATATTTAGTCTTCATGTTCTCTGATGAAGCTTCTACTCCGAGGCTTCTGTTCCTTGGGAGGAACTTCTCTTCTCTGATGAGGCTTCTTCTCTGAAGCTTCTATTCCCTGAGGGAACCTTCTCTTCTCCGGTCTTCATTTATGAAGCACCAGTTCCTATGAGGGAACTCTTCTTTATGGCTAGCTCTGCTTCTGGCCTTTTTGTTCCTCATGGTATTTTTACAAGACACTTCATTCTCCTAGTCTTTGTAACTGAGTACACACTTAAACAATCAAGCACTTATTAGTTTGTAAGTAAGTGAGGTTGTGTCATCATCAAAATCATTAAGTCCAACACTTTAGCTTACTAATGATCATTGTTGTTATTTTGAAGGGATACTCAAATTGATGTTGTTGGTGGAATTGGTGCAATTTATATTTCCACGATGTTTATTGGAGCACAGACTAGTGGTGGTGTAATACCAGTAATGAACAGCAATAAACCGGCGTTTTATAGAGAGAAATCATCTGGCTTGTATGCTGCCATACCTTATGCTCTAGCACAGGTAGTTTCGATGGACTTACAAGTTTTTACAAGAAACTGATTTATGAAGTATAGCGGTGTTTGTAGGTTTTTCATTTTTGTTCTTACTTTATGTTACTTAATTTTCAGGTTGTGATTGAGATTCCATATGTTATAGCACAAGTGACCATTTACGAGGTCATAGCCTATGGAATGATAGGGTTCGAATGGACAACTTTGAAGTTCTTTCGAGAGTACCTCTTCATGTTACTCTCACTATTGTGTTTCACATACTTTGGCATGATGATCTCTTCCGTGACTCCTAACCAAGAAACATGTAACATATTAACTAGTCTTGTGAACTCGATGTGGAATCTCTTTGCCGGGTTTGCTATTCCTCGAAATGTAAGTAGAGTCACATTTTGTTACACATGACAAGGTTTTATGATATGATGGTTACAATTGCCAATGATTATGATGTTGTACTTGTTTGTGTTGGTTTCTATGTGTAGAGGGTTCCGCCGTGGTGGAGATGGTTCACGTTTGTGTGCCCGGTGTCTTGGAGCATGTATGGGATGGTAGCTTCTCAATATGGAGATATAGAGTCTGAGATTAGCACCGGGGAGACGGTGACCCAATTCATAAGGGACTTCTATGGGTACAAATATGACTTCTTAGGAAGTGTGGTTGTTATCATGGTTGGTTTCAACCTACTCTTCATTTTCCTACACTGCTTTGCCACCAAGATGTTCAACTTCCAGAAAAGATGAGAAATTTCAGGCTCTCATATTTAAACTAGGCATAAATCAATGTATTGATTAGTAGATTGTCCAGCAATTTACAAGTAGTTAATTATGCTGTCAAGATTAGGTTTTTATGTTAGCTCTTTCCTCACCTATTATGAACAGTGTTGTATTGTAGCAATAATCTAGTAAAGTAGAATATATGTACTTGTATTAGAGATAGACATTATATTATCATGAGTTCATGAAGCTATGTTTGGCCTTGGATATTTTGTCACTTAATTATGAAAATGCCGCCAAATGCACCTATTTCTAACTACACTAGTGTAAGTAAAAAATTGCAAATGCATAATGTACCAGTAAAAAAATTGACCTATAAATATACATTAAGGTGTCATCCTTTATCAACGGTGAACAGTTATAAATTTCGACATACAAAATAAGTTCGAATAAGATCGGATAAATTAAAATACGCCGAGTGAACTTATTAACAATGAGAGACCCAAACCACCTTATCCTCCAAATCCCAACCTCTGTTCTTATCAATTGCATGGCCTCTCTATCAATCAGCCCAATATTAAACCTCTTTAATCATAAACCCAGAAATTCCTCAATTTCTCTCAAATTAAACACAACCCAAATTCCAGAAAATCATACAAGTAAAAGGTCTTGTTTCACAGATTTCTCTTCTCTTTCCAGAAATGGGCGAATTACAGAAGCTGTACATCTTTTCTCTCAATTTCCCAACAATGACGTCCAAATTGGCCCTGAATTTTACGTTGAATTATTACAACAATGTACAAATTTGCCAGATTTTTTTCTGGGTCAGCAAATTCATGCGCTAATCATTAAAAAAGGTGATGTTTTTGCAAGAAATGAGTATATTCAGTCTAAATTAGTCATATTTTATGGAAAATGTGATGAATTAGAGCTTACTAATCGTTTGTTTAGCAGATTATTTGTTAAGAATTTATATTCATGGACTGCTATAATTGGGTTATATTCTAGGATGAAATTAAATGAGCAGGCTTTAATTTGTTACTGTGAATTTCTTGAAAATGGGTTTTTTCCTGATAATTTTGTGATTCCTAGTGCATTAAAAGCATGTGCTGCTGATCAATTTCTAGGGTTTGGGAAGGGAATTCATGGGTATTTAATTAAAGTGGGTTTTGATGATAGTGTGTATGTTGCAAGTAGTTTGGTTGATATGTATGGAAAATGTGGTGTTCTTGAAGATGCAAAGAAGGTGTTTGATGAAATGTCTGAGAGAAATGTTGTGGTTTGGAATTCAATGATTGTGGGTTATGTTCAAAATGGAATGAATGAGGAAGCAATTCAATTGTTTTATGAGATGAGAACTGAAGGGGTTGAACTGACTAGGGTCACTATGTCGAGTTTGCTCTCAGCATCGGCGAATTTAGGAGTTGTTGAAGAAGGTAGGCAAGGGCATGCTCTTGCCGTTATATATGGCTTGGAAATGGGTAATATTTTGGGAAGTTCATTGATTAACTTTTACTCTAAAATTGGTTGGGTAGAGGATGCTGAACTTGAATTCTCAAGGATGGTGGAGAAGGATGCAGTTACTTGGAATTTGCTGATTTCTTGCTATGTTCAGAATGGTTTGGCAGAAAATGCTGTTAATATGTGTCGGTATATGAGATTACACGGTTTAAGATTTGATTGTGTGACTATGGCTTCTTTGATCTCCGCTTGTGCTGATACTGGTGACATTAAATTTGGTAGGGAGGGGCATTGCTATTGTATTCGAAATAACCTTGATACTGATGTTGTTGCAGCTAGCATGGTCAATATGTATGCGAAAAGTAAGGAAATAGATAATGCTAGGAGAGTGTTTGAATATTCAGTGGAGAAAGATCTTGTATTATGGAATGCACTCTTAGCTGCTTATGCAGAACTAGGCTTAAGTGGCAGAGCTCTGGAGTTGTTTTACCAGATGCAGCTGCAGGGTTATCACCCAAACGTGATAACTTGGAACTCCATACTTCTTGCACTCTTGAGGAATCATTTGGTAGATGAGGCGAAAAATATGTTCTTACAAATGCGTTCCGCTGGTATTGAACCTAATGTCATAACTTGGACTACTCTTATTACGGGTTTAGCTCAAAATGGGCTTGCCTTGGAGGCAATATTATTCTTTCAGCAAATGCAAGAATCTGGAGTTCAACCTAATACCGTGAGTCTAACTGGCGTGCTTTTAGCTTGTATAGATATGACATCCTTGCTGCTCGGAAAATCAATTCATGGATATGTCATGAGACGATGCTATGAATCTTCTATAGAAATTTCAACTTCTTTGGTGGACATGTATGCTAAATGTGGATGCATATCTCATGCAAGGAAAGTATCTAATATGAGTTCAGACAGAAGATTTGCATTATACAATGCTACATGACCGAGCTTTAGATGCTCTGGCATTATACAAGCATTTGCAAAAGCAGGGCATAGAACCTAATTATGTAATCTTCACCATCATCCCTTCAGCTTGCAGTCATGGAGGACTGGTTGACAAGGGGTTGGAAATTTTTGTTGATATGGTAAAAATGTGTAATAGAAGGCCAAAAAAGGAGCATTATGGCTGTTTGGTTACTCTTCTCTCTCGATGTGATAGTCTGGATGAAGCTATTACGATCATTTGAATATGCCATTTGAGCCAGATGCAGAAATGATAGGATCACTACCCTGCATGCAAGGAACATGGTCTGATTGAACTTGGGGAATATGTTTCGACATACTTACTCCAACTTGAACCCGATAATACTGCAAATTGTGTAGTACTTTCGAGTGTATATGCATCTGCTGGAAGATGGACTAAAGCATTGGAATGGAGAGATTTGATGAATAGAAGGGATCTGGACAAGAGTCCTGGGTGCAGTTGAGTTCAAATAGGGACTGAAGCTCATGTATGTATTTGCTGCCAGTAATAGATCTCATCCGCAAAAGGATGAAATCGCCATGATCCTTGCATTAATAGAAGCAGAGATGAGACAGAAATATACGGATTTTAATCTGGGAATCCATTCCTCTTAACAGTGGTGTTTCAGTTATGATTTCTCTAAGGCGGCATAAACAGGAGCAATCATACGTTCATACTGAAGAACTTGAAAATTAAAGATGCTAGGCAGGAAAAGCTAAGGCGTTGCTCGTCAAAAATGGTTGTTTTAATAGTTGTTCTGCTTATTGATACTCTGTATAGATTAATTGTCAATATAGGCGCTCAACAAGCTGTTAATATTGTAGATTTTAGTAGAATTACAGTCTAATCTAATGAAATGATACTCCAGAAACTACTTCCAAATTCACTCTAAACTATTGAAATTGAAACTTCAACTTCAACAATTACTTGCATCATGACAGATGCGTCTTCATGGCACATTTTATTGGTTTGTTCAGTGAACCATTAATGAATACTCCAAAAACTATTGTCGAACATTCCCTAAATTAATAAAACCTAATTATTGGAAAAACAAACAATATTGTAACGAGTACATGCAACTTCACTACACGTGTCACTCTCGTCTTATTTTAGTCTATTGATAATAATTTATTTAAAAAGTGATTTTCTGTTATATGCATTGTTGATGACACATTTCATTGATTTGCTGTATTAATCATACATATAAATTAGGTGTGAGCAAGTGATAAAATGGACCATAGCTTCTTTTTACAGGAATAATCCTTATCAATATATAAGTCTTATAGCACATGGAAGGAACCCTCTTTTGTTAAAATCAAATTATATTCTTAATTTTCTTTGCAAGTAAGAATGATGAAAAAGGTTGGATAAAATTTTCTTTTGTTTTGTTTTGGCAAAAAGAGAACAATCTTATCTCATATTATTATTCAGTTTCCTAATGCTTCTATTCTCTGTCAATGTCATGCAGTTGGTACTACTTATTGTTGCTGCTGATTTTTGGTGTGTTGAAAAGCATTGCTAGCTTGGCTCCGTTACGAATTCCCCGTAACACCGTGGTTATTATGCAAAATGACACCTATCATGACTACAGTATTTACAAATCTTAGAGATTAACCTATCAAGCTATTAGTCTTGGAACGTTGAACAACCCTAGTTTGTCACTGAATCTTCAATTTCTAATCACGTAATAAATGTTTGGTTGAATAGTTAGCTAAATTAGCTTATTACATCATGTAGAATTGAAGATTGTATTGCCTAACACTCACGTCATAGTTTTTAATTTTCCCTCTAATAATCATAGCTATTATTGAACCATGCAACTTTAGGAAACACCAAAACTTGTCACTAAAAAAATAGACTTATAATAAGGTGACTTTGTTTAGAAGTTTTGCATATTTGCCACTTAATTAGGTGAACGGTTAGGAAATTAAATGATGATCATGATCATGATTACAGAAATAGTATTTGTCAAAAGGAAGTCATAATATTGGATGAGTTGTAGGTGAATTGAGTTGTTAGTGAGAAGTATAAGCCTTTAAGGCTGTAATATATGGTCGAGCATATGGAGGCATGCTGGCTTATTCAGAGTTAAACTTGGGCCGCACACAATATTTATAATTAGCGCATTAGTCTCTGACTCGACCAGATAGATTAATTCATCTCTAAATAATTTGTCACATTAAGGATCTGTACACATTTACTGAAATGAACTGAACTGAACTGAACTGAACTAAACTGATTGGAGTTGAACTGAACTAAATTGATTGGAGTTGAACTGAACTGAGCTGAAATGAATATTTTATGAGAGAGGGAAATTAGGAACTGAACTGAACTATACTGAACTGAGTGGAGCTGAACTAAACTGAACTGAACTGATTAGAGCTGAACTGAAATGAGCTGAAATAAAATTAATTAAATGCAAACATGCCCTAAATTAAAGTTTACTTTTATATAATGTTAAATAAATTATGAACTACGAGTATAATTTAAACACTTTTGTGTCGGGGCCTGCTAAAATGCAAGTATATAAAGCAAAAAATTTCCTCAAGTACGCTCCAATGAACTAACTGTCCAATTCAACCATATATATTTTTTGGTTTGCTAATTGCTATGTAACATTATTTAGCAATTTATTTAACTATATGATCAATGGTAACATTAAAGATGGACCATGGAATAATCATGAATACAAATGACGGTATCATATGTTAATATCCATTGAGAAAGACATATCCTGCAAACCTAATAAAAATCTATGATTGATGTTCATGGTTCAATTTCTTTATAGGGATATTCCCATTGATATACTCCAGGTTTTGACTTTTCTCAATGGTACCACATTTTTTTTTTGACTTCCTGCTGATACACCCAAGGTTTTGACTTTATAATTCACGTACCTAAGTCTGTTAATCAGGCGCTAATAACTTGATAAATTAACATCTTAGGCTTAGTAAAAGATGAAATGACTAATATACCCCTTTTTTAATCCATTCCCTCCAAAATTTTCCACTTAAATTGTCTGTTATTTCCCTCCAACTTCTCAAACCCTATTCCCTCCCTAAAAAAAAACCACTTTCCCCTCTTCTATTCTCCATTAAAGTTCTCTTCCATTGTTGCAAACTTATCTCATCTCCATTAAAGCTCCCTTGCTGCAAACTTATCTTCTCTTCTGACATTGCTGCAAACTTATCATTGATTGCTTATGTTTAATATTGAGATCAACTAAAATAGACAAAATAACTAAAATGTGGGACAAATTGAAATAGACAAAATGGCATCAGTTGCTAACATTCATTAATATATATAGGTTATTTGGGAACATTGCAATCCAACTTTCAATAGTAAAGTTGTCTACTAAATTACCAAATAACAAGAGCAAAAATCATCCCAAATGACCAAATAAAAAACAAAGTTAACTACAAGTTTTGACTTTCTAACAAATTATCAAAATGCATATGCCACTATACTGCAGAACAAAAGACTTAAGAGCTTGGAGAATTTGATTTTCATTGAGACATAGGCACTGGTTGGCTAGGCAACTGTGAAGCTGTCAGTACTATTGCTTGCTCAGCTGAGGGTCTGCCCTTCTGTCCCTTTGCTTGTTTAGCTGAAGCTGCTGACTGATATCCAACTTCTTCAGATTTCTTTGCTGCCTTAGCTGCCTTTGCTGCATTACTTTGGTCTCTGACCCTAGGATTTTTTATGACAACAGGCTCATTTGACTTCAGTTCTTTCCCAGTTAACCCTCCCATACAAGTTGTCTTATTATGGCCAAAGCAACCACATTTGCTACATTTGACTGTTTTGGACCTTTTTCCAGGTTGCTCTTCACCTTCCTCCCTCTTTCTATTCCTACTTGGTCTTCCAATTCCCCTCTTCATCTTAGGAGGCATGATGATTGTATCTGACTCATCTGCAGGCCATTGCTGTGTGTTAGGAATTGGGTTAATGCAAACACTATAAGCTTGCTTGTAAGTCTTCAGAGAATACCAGGAACTGCCAAAGTCATGTGGGTCAAGCTTTGCATCAATGCAGGCCCTAATGGCATGCCTACATGGCACACCTGTCAGTTGCCATGCCCCACAGGAACAAATCTTCTTGTTTAAGCTCAGAGGAAACTGTGATCTTCCTTCATGAATTTCATATTCTCCTGGACTGGACTTGAAAGCTCTACATTTTGAGGTAGCTTTACCTATTTCTTTCACTAGATTCACAATTTTAGGAGTAATGTCTTCATCTTTCCAAGACCTTGCATTCTCCATCCTTGTTGCAATTCTCACCATACAAACCCTTCTTATTCCTGCATTCAGTATCATAATTAGATGTCTTACTAAACCAGTTTGAAATAACAATGATATCATATCAATTGAACAATTAATACCTTCTAGCAAAGTCAAAATAGGCCTACACCTATTCACCCCAAGTGTAGAGTTGAAGCTCTCTACAAAATTAGAGGTATTGGAGTCATTCAAACATTTGGGTCAAATGCATGCTTACTCCATTTAGATTGCTCTCCCAAGTCTGCAAACCAACACGTGACATAATCACCTCCTACTTTCTGCAACTTCTCCATAGCTTTCCTAAATGTGAAAGCTGAAGATGCATTGCAAGCTCTCCAAAAGAGAACATACATCATAGGGCCTGGAAAAAGTTTCTTGAAGTTTCTACTAAGATGCCTACAACAAAACCTCCTATCAGCTTTAGGCCAGACTTGTTCTAATGCACGTTCAACTCCCTGATACAATGAGTACACAATAAGCATGTTTAGGGATAGACTCATATCATAGAAAAACAATGATAAAATTGAAACACAAAGAGGAAAGTACTTGCCTTTTGCCTATCAGAAATAATGGTCCAATGCTCCCTTTATGAGTCTTTCACAATGTTCAACAAATGCCAAAAGAAGTATGTCCATGATTGCTTGTCTTCTTGGCCAACTACAGTATATGCAATGGGGAAGATCTTATTATTTCCATCTATTCCCACAGCAGAGAGCAATACCCCCCATAGTTACCTTTGAGATGGGTCCCATCTACACCAATTAAAGGTCTAACACCTTTTAATAGACCTTTCCATTGTCCAGTGAAGGAGATAAAGATGCTTGTAAATTGCAGCTGTTTAGGGATAGACTCAGTTTCATTCCATGCACAAAAAGCTTTTGACTCTGGGTTTGTTTCTATGCACATCTTAGCATATTGTGGCAGCATTCCATATGACTCATCATGTCCTCCAAAGAACTGCTCAATCACATAGCTCTTTAACATGTACAAGGTTGACTGCCTCATGTTGATGCCATATCTCTGAAAAAGAAGTTCATTGAGTGCTTTCCCAGGAATGTCTGGGTTAGCCCTGATGTCTTCCATGACTTTTTGTGATGCCCATTTTACATTGCATATGGGGTTGTAAGTCTCTAAGCCCCTACAAGTGTGTACATTAGGCCATATTTTCTTGATTGCCCAAGTTCTGCCATCTGACAGTCTACTGGCACGCAATCTCCAATCACAGCATTCAGATTGGCAAACTGCACTGTACCTTTTGTTGTCAGCATACTCTACATTGATGGAAAATCTTTCTTGAACAGCAAAATCCTTCAAAGTGTCCTTAAAGTGAGCTTTGTCAGTAAAAATCATCCAAGGCCTAAGTGTTATTTTACCAAAATCAGCATCCTCATACATTTCTCCATTTTTGTACAATCTCTGAAAATAATCTTCATCATCTTCATCATCAAAGAAGTCAAACCATTTTGTTGGTTTCCAAGTGTCCTTCACTTTTGGAATCCTATTAAGCTGCTCTTGCTCATCTTCTAGAATATCACCTGTTGGTGCAACTTCTCCATCAGAGTCTTCTTCAGCTTCATTATAACCACCTGATCTCTCAGTCTTTATAGACTCAGAGCTTTGGACAACAAATTGCATCCTTCTTCTCACCCTAGAACCAGAAGAACTGCCTGCACCTGACTCAAATTCACCCCTGAAGAACTGCCCTGCACCTGACTCAAATTCACCCCTGAAGAACTGCCCTCAGTCACAGTCACATTCACCCTAGAAGCTGATCCATGAATCTGACTCACAGTGTCACCAACACCTAGCATCCTTCTCTCACTCACAATGTCACCAACACCTAGCATCCTTCTCTCACTCACAGTTGAACCTATCCTTAACCCCTTTCTTATAGTTGTGGACCTAGGAATCTTTCTTCTAAATACAGAGGTCTGAGTTAATGGTTCAGCATCAGAAGTTTAGGTGTCTTAGTGACTGCCAAAGGTGAGAATCTAGGACTCCTTCTTAGTGTTAAACCCTTGAAAACAGTAGTTGGTGACCTAGGAGATGGTGGTTGCATTGGGGTTGTTTTGGTGGTACTACTCTTTTTATTCTTTGTAGCCTTAACCTTCTTAGACTTTTGTATCCTGCCCATAGATTTCTCAAACTCTATTCTACCCTTGGTATACTCAGAAGCAGATTAAGGATTATTTGTTTCTTCTTGGGGTGAATCATAACCCTCATTATACCTAGGTGGAGAGGACTCATTATTTGGGATTATCTCATTAATAGAAGGCTGTTTATCAATTTGGGAAGGGTAAAATTGGAATGGTTCTGTTTGGGTTGTTTCATTTGAGTGGGTTGATCTGTTTGGAGTGTTTCATTCTGAGGGGGTGGATCAGTTGGTGGTACAGTTTGGGAAGGTTCATCATTATGGGGTGGTACAGTTTGGGAAGGTGCAGCAATTGGTTGTTCAGATTTGGATTTGTTCCTTAACCTGTTGATCATTCTATTCAAGGCACTTGGTTTCTTGGCAAACCCAACCCAAATGTGATACATCTCACAGTCACCTAGGGTATGAATCATCTTAAAAAAATCAGCATCATCTAGTAAAGGGTGATTCTTTTCATTGTGACCATAACCAAAGGTAGGGTTGATTAAGGGATACTCAGTGTCTAATGCAGCAGTGTCCTCAAAATCCATAATCAAGTCCATCAAATTACATCTATCTAAGTCAACATCAATATCAACATGTTTATCCCATTAATGAAACCTTATCACAACATCACCCATTCTGCAAAATAAGGTAAACAATGCACACACTTACAACATGCAAATTAATTCCAATTCAATTATCCAACAATCAATCAAACATGATCATGGCATTTCATTCAATTTAATTCCATATTCTAAACCAATAATTGAACAAACATAAGCCCCCACCTAATATACATGAAAGAATCCTAAAATCGCACAAATATACATCATTAAAATCATGAATTAAACCTAAAATCGCATATAAAAACAGAACATCAAACAAATGCACCAAATCATGGATAAATGAACAGTAGTAGTGCTAAAGTACCTGAATTATGCAAGATTTCCCTCTAATGGCTTTGTAGACCAACAAAATTAGCAAATTTTCCCTTGCAAACCCTTCGTGAATTTAACAGAGAGCAGAGGAGAGAGAGATGAAATTTGAAAGTGAATTTGGTTTATGTCAAATCGACATAAATGGAAGGGGAAAGGGTTTTGATCGTTGGAGGGAAGGGTTTAAAAGGGGGTAAATTAGTCTTTTTCTTTTTTTTTTTACAAAATTATATTTTAACCTAAATTTACTAACTTATTAATGTCTGATTAACAGACTTAATCACGTGAGTTAGTAAGTCATAAACTTGGGTGTATCATTAGGAAGTCAAAAAAAAAAATGTGGTACCGCTGGGAAAAGTCAAAACCTGAAGTGTATCAATAGGAATTTCCCTTCTTTATATCTAGAACTTTCTTTTCTTGTTTTATATTCTTTTATTATCATTAGTTTATTGCCATGAATTTAAGTTCATGGTTTATTAATGGAGGATATATCTTTAGTCTTGGTCTAAGAGATTTCTGTTATGTTGCTTTCTTCGTCTTTAAACTACTAAATTATACATAAAGTTAAAATAATTGGGTTCCAAATCTTCTTCACTTTTTATTATACACGACAATATGTTCCGTTATATAATGTAGGATTAAAAGCCCTACCATTATGTAAAGTACTTAAATTATTAAGCCTGTAATTATTTATATATTTACATTAGCTTATGATTTGGGGAGTTAGAGTTCTTATATTTAAATCATGGTTTATTTAATTAAATGATAAAAAAAAATTAACAATATTAAAATTTCAAATAAACGGCTAGTTGAAAGAAAATGTTTGCTCATTACTTCATGAGTACCACGGGATAACGAACCATTTCATGACGAGTTAATTTTTTTTTTTTTTTTTTTTTTTTTTTTTTTTTTTTTTTGGGAAACAACCGGTTATTTAAGGTGGGATCACTTTTTACGTCCCTTACGTGTTCCATTCATTTTGATCCTTCAATGTCGGCTTTTCCTATTATTGTGAAACAAAATTCACAAGTGTTGGATTGTTCACTCACCATTAGGGAACGTGAGTTGGGTTTAGACCATTGTGAGATAAGTTAGTTTTACCCTACTAATGACAGTATTGTTATGATAATTCAACCTAGTACGAGAGGAACCATTGATTCACACAATTGGTCATTGCACTTGGTTGAAAAGCCAGTGGCGCGAAACTACCATGTGCTGGCTTATGACTGAACGCCTCTAAGTCAGAATCCAGGCCAGAAGTGACGCATGTGTCCGGCGCCCAATTACCGTCCTACAGTAGGGAGTTCAACCCCCAAGGACAAGTGTCGTAGGATAAACTCGCGCGGTGGATGCGCCGTGAGAGCCGCCTTGAAGTACAATTCCTATCAAGCGGCAAGTTTAATCCTTTGCAGACGACTTAAATACACAATTGGGCATTGTAAATGGTAGAGTGGTCTTAATGCCACGATCCACTGAGATTCAGCCTCATATATGTCGCTTCAATTTGTCCCTCCCCCACCGTACCCTATTCCCTAAAAACACCATATTTTGGAAAATGAGGTTAGCGGTTCTTCTTATATGTTAAAAAATGCCAATTACTAGATTGAAACAAGTCACAAAGCCTAATTGTTGGGGTGTTGGATGGTGCAAGGGGGCATGTGGCATGTGGCATGTGCACAAGACATGTGCATCTAAGGACAAGACATACAAAGAGTTAGTCTTGTCATTTGAGGGTATGCCGTCTTTGCCTTAAGAAATGATATTTAAGGATGAATGAGATGGTTCCGAGAATAATCCATGACTCCCAAGGCCCTTTGGGAACCCATGGAACTACCTAGATACATAATCTTACCGAGTGAAAAAATGATGTATGGAAGCCAAATTTGAAGGCTATAATACACGAAATCGGAGCAATTTAGGAGGTGTCGGGACTCGGTGTCAGGATTTCACGGAATTGTTTATGATGCATCCCGGGTGATATAATATTGTTTGGACCCATATACCATCATTAGTCGACTACATAAAATCTTCCATGAAGCTTTTAGCCAACATAAGAGGCGTGTACAAAAACAGGTAAATTGGATGCTTAAAGGGAAATTGGATGGTTCCACCCACCCAATTGGACTCCCGGAGGGTATTAGGGTCTATAGGTAGCTTCTCATCAATTTTTGTTTCCGAGTAAAAAAAAAGTCAAAAAATTGGCAAAATTGAAGATAATACACGCTTTTTGGCCAATTTCAAAGGTTTCGGGACTCGGTGTCGAAAAGTCTCAAGTTATTAGGGGATACATCCTGGGGTCATATAATATCGTTTGGAACCATATATTATCATTATATGTTGTCATAAATGTCCGTGGTAGCCTCGAGTTTATGAAATCCGTGCAAATTGTAAGCGGAAAAATTGACAGTTTAAA